TTTCCTTAAAATCTGCCTCCATTCCTGAGGATTGGAAGGTAGCTAATGTCACTCCCATCTTTAAAAAGGGTTCCAGAGGAGATCCGGGAAATTACAGGCCAGTCAGTCTGACGTCGATACCGGGTAAATTGGTGGAAACCATTATTAAGGAAAGAATTAGTAGGCACATAGATGAACAAAACCTATTGAGGCAGACTCAGCACGGTTTCTGTAAGGGAAGATCTTGTCTCACTAACCTGTTAGTGTTCTTTGAGGGGGTGAACAAACATGTGGACAAGGGGGATCCAATAGATATTATTTACCTTGACTTCCAGAAAGCTTTTGATAAAGTTCCTCATCAAAGGCTCCTAAGTAAGCTCAAAAATCATGGGATAGAAGGACAAGTCCTTTTATGGATCAAAAACTGGCTAGTTCATAGAAAACAGAGAGTGAGTGTAGGTGGGCAATTTTCTCAGTGGAGGGTGGTAAGCAGTGGGGTACCGCAGGGATCAGTACTTGGTCCACTGCTTTTTAACTTGTTCATTAATGATTTGGAGATGGGAGTAAGCAGTGAAGTGGCTAAATTTGCGGATGATACAAAGTTGTTCAGGGTGGTGAAAACCAGTGAGGATTGTGAGGCACTCCAAGGGGATCTGTCAAGGATGGGCGAGTGGGCGTCAACATGGCAAATGGGGTTCAATGTGGCCAAGTGCAAGGTGATGCACATTGGAGCCAAAAATCCTAAATATAAATACACATTGATGGGGTCTGAACTGGCAGAGACTGAGCAAGAGAGAGATCTTGGAGTTGTAGTGGATAACTCACTGAAAATGTCGAGACAGTGTGTGACTGCAATAAAGAAGGCCAATGCTATGCTGGGGATTATTAGGAAGGGTATTGAAAACAGATCAGCCAATATAATAATGCCCCTATATAAATCAATGGTGAGACCTCATTTGGAATACTGTGTGCAGTTCTGGGCACCACACCTTAAAAAGGATATTATAGCTTTGGAAAAAGTGCAGAAAAGGGCAACTCGAATGATAAAAGGGTTGGAACACTTTCCCTATGAGGAAAGGTTAAAGCGCTTAGGGCTCTTTAGCTTGGAGAAAAGACGACTGAGGGGTGACATGATCGAGGTTTATAAGATTATGCATGGGAAAGAGCAGGTAGAGAAAGAGGTACTTTTCTCCCTTTCTCACAATACAAGAACTCGTGGGCACTCCATGAAACTGCAGAGCGGTCGGGTTAGAACGGATAAAAGGAAGTACTTCTTCACCCAAAGAGTGATTAACACATGGAATTCACTGCCACAGGAAGTGGTGGGTGCTACAAGCATGGACAGCTTCAAAAGGGAATTAGATAAGCATATGGAGCAGAGGTCCATCAGTGGCTATTAGCCACAAGGTATAGCTAGGGGCTCTGGGGCAAGTGATGCTCTGTCTTCTTGGTGCTCGGGGGGGTCAACAGTGGGAGGGCTTCTAATGTCCTGGCCCCACTGCTGGACCTCCTGATGGCACTGGTATTTCTGGCCACTGTGTGACACAGAGTGTTGGACTGGATGGGCCTTTGGCCTGATCCAACATTGGCGTCTCTTATGTTCTTATGTTCTTATTCCGCCTGGCCGTTGGTCGCGGGATGAAATGGGGCCGACCGGAGGTGGTGGATACCGTAATATCTTGTGAAGTCCTGGAACTCACTTGAGGTAAACGCAGTCCCATTATCGGTGACCAACGTATCGAGGATCCCCTGGGCGCTGAATATCTGCCACATTGCCCGGATGGCCGCCTTCAATGACGTGGAGGGTACTGGAACCACCTCCAGCCATTTAATGTAGGAGTCTACAAGTATAAAGAAAAGCTGCCCCTGGAAAGGTCCAGCAAAGTCCAAGTGTAACCTGGACCAGGGGCAGTGAGAGGATTCTCAGGCCCTTTCTGGGGCTCAAGGTGGTTCCGGCCAGGAGGCTTGGCTGGCACCTCCTCACTATGTCCTCGATGTCCTTGTCCAGCCCCGGCCACCAGACATAACTCCTGGCCAAGGCTTTCATGCGCACCACCCTGGGATGCGCCTCGTGAAGGGCGGTGAGGACCCGTTCCCGTAAGGGCTTAGGGATGACCACCCAGCTTCCCCAGAGCACACAGCCCTTGTGGACGGACAGTTCGTCCTTCCGGGAAGCAAAGGGAGTAAAGTCCAGATCCCCTTTGGCCATGGGCCACCCCCTTACCACCCAGTCCAAGACCCAGTTGAGAACCTTGTCCTTGGAGGTGCAGCGAGCCACCTCCTCGACGTGGGCTGGCTGATCCGGGAGGGACTCCAGAAGCGCAACCTGGTGAGTGGGAGCTGGATCCAGGTCGCAGACGGGCAGCGGCAGGCGGCTCAGGGCGTCCGCATGGCCCGTCGCCTTCCCTGGGCAATGAACGAGGGTGTAGAAGTACCCTGCCATGAAAATAGACCAGCGAAGCACTCGGTGGGGAAATCATCTGAGGGGTCTGGCGGTTGGGGGCGAGGAGGCCAAGCAGTGGCTTGTGGTCCGTGGGGACTGTGAACTGGCGTCCATACAAATAGTGGTGAAATTTCTTCACCCCCACTACAATAGCCAATGCCTCTTTATCAATTTGCACATAGTTGCGCTCCGCTGCAGAAAGAGTCCGTGAATAATAGGCAACCGGGACCTCGCGGCTGTCCGGCAGCCGATGTCCCAGGACTGCCCCGACCCTGTAAGGCGAAGCGTCACAAGCCAGCACAACAGGAAGAGCCTTATTGAAATGCACCAGGACCGAATGGGACACGAGCAGGTCCTTGACCGCTTTGAACGCAGCTGCTTGCAGCGGACCCCAGACCCAAGGCGTCAACTTGTCCAGGAGGTGATGGAGCGATTCAGCAACTGCAGCTTTAAGGGGCAAGAATGAATGATAAAAGTTCAGGAGCCTCAGAAAATCCTGCAGCTCCGATTTGGACCTGGGAGTCGGTGCGTGAGTGATGGCCTTCACCTTGTCCATGGTGGGGTGGATGCTGGAGGCGTCGACCATGAAACCCAGGAACTCGACACGAGGGAACCCCAGCAGACACTTCTCCCACTTGAACTTGAGCCCAGCTGTGTCGAAGCGATGCAGCACAGCCCGCAGCCGGTCAGCAAAAGATGAGTGGTCCGGGGCGGCGATCAGCACGTCGTCTAGAAACGGCTGAATTCCAGGGATGCCTTTTAGGAGTGAATCCATAAAAGATTGAAAAATACCCGGCACAACTGAGACTCCGAACTGGAGGCGGTGCACCTTAAAAGCCCCCCTGTGTGTCGTGATTGTCTGAGCCTCAGCCGTGGTGGCATCAACTAGCAATTGCTGATACGCCTGGGCCAATTCCAACTTGCCAAAGCAGCCAACACATGGCTCACCACCGGCACCAGATAAGCGTGTGCCTGCAGAGCCTTATTAAGCATGCATTTATAATCCGCACAAATGCGCACGTCCCCATTAGGTTTCACCGGGTGACTATGGGAGTTTCCCACCATGCAGATGCGACCGGTTCCAAAACCCCTTGTTCCACCAGGCGATCTAGCTCAGCCTCAATCTTAGGCTTCATTGCAATCGGTGGCAGCGTGGCCTTAATGCAAATAGGGTGAACAGCAGGGTCTAGGTCCAGAGAAATAGGGAGCCCAGAATACCGCCCCAGGGAGTCATCAAAGACCCGGGGAAATTCAGCGCATACCGCACCAAAATCCTGTGACCGGACCTGGTTAACCCCATTTAAAGACAGTCCCAAGGGCCCGAACGAGGAGAGGCCCAGCAGACTGGAGAGTGGCTCCTCCACCACCAGCAGGTCTAAATGGCTGTTAAAGTCCTGAAACTGTACCTGGAACTTGCCCCAGCCCCGTACCACCACGGGGTTCTTATTGAAGTCCTGTAACCTGAAACCCCGTGGCTTTTGCAGGGGTGCCCCCCCGGGGACACAGCTGCTGGAGCATATCCACGGAGATAAGGGAGAACGAAGACCCCGTATCGATCTCCATGCTGCAGGGGGACCCCTCTATGAGGACAGTAACATGCACCTTGTTGGGGCTATCGGGGGGCAAGTTACATACCAGATGCTGCTGGTGATGGGCCGAGAGAGTGTGGAGGTCGATTAACTGGTCCGTCGAGGTCTGGTGAGCAGAAATCTTCAGGCGCAGTCCTTTGGAGCGGCAGACCCTGGAGATGTGCCCCGATTTGTTGCACGTCCTGCAAACGGCATTCCGGAACCCGCAAGACCTGCGTTCGTGGTCCTCCCCGCTGCTGGCACACGGAGCCAAGATAGCCAAAGATGCTTTGCCTGCGTTGAAAGATGGCTGATGGTGGACCTCTAGCACTTCGTCTGAGACGTCAGAGCCGACAGTAGCTTGCGTGCGATGGACCGCCTTGGCACGGCGGTCTTGATGCGATTTCTCATAAGCGGTGACCTCCCTGATCGCCTTATCAATATCCAGGTCGTCCTGGTTGATCAGTCTCCTCTGGAGCTTAGGCTCCCGTAGTCCCACGAGGAACTGGTTGAGGAGAGCTTCAGCCAGGTCAGAAAAGGAGCACCTGGTGGCGGCCCGACGTAGTGCCGCCAGGAAATCAGCGGTGGTCTCGTTGGGGCCCTGGACTTTGGCAAAAAAGTCCATTCGCTCCACAAACTTAGTGGGTTTAGGAGCCAGGTGGTCTGTCAGTGCCTTAACCAAAGAGTGCTAAGACTCGTCTTTGGTCAGCCAGGGTGCTATTAAGTTTTTTCAGCAGGAGATGGGCCTCCATCCCGCAGTGGCGGAGAAGGTACGCCCTCTTCATACCTGGTTCCGTCACATTGTGGATCATGAAGTGGCTCTTGAGTGTCTCCAGCCAGGTTTCCCACTGCGAGGGGCGAGAAATATTGAAGGCAGGGAGACTCTCTGTGGCAATAGCCATCTTACGGTTCCACAAAGAGGTGAACGGCGGGAACTAGCGAGCGTAGAGAAGGAGCGGTGCGGTGCTGCCTCATGGTCAGTGATGCGATGCTGGGCTGGGAGCGGTGCGATGAACGAGAACCTGAAGAAGCGCCGGAGCAACAGCGGCGTGTGGCAATCTCGGTGCGGCGACTCATAACGATGCCTGGAACGTGGTCTCTGTTTGAGGGGTGATGGATCCCATCCTCGTCGCCAGTGAAAAGGACGCAGACAGACCAGTGATTTCACCTTAGCTACTATATTAGTGAAGAACAAGACAACTTTAGCCGGCTTGCAGGCCGGCCCATACTCCTGTGAATCCACCACCCAAAACACACACACCCCACTTCCCCATAGGTCCAAACTAGTGGCTGAGAGTCCCATAGGCTCTCCGCCTGATTGGTGTGGGCTGGATCCCTATCCTCCTTTGTCTGACTGTCCCTGTGGTGCCGAAGCTGACAGAGGTCGGGTCCTGATACATTACAAAAATGATCCAGCCTGGCATAGTTTCAAAGGCATGTAACAGAAATGGACAAGAGAGGAAGGAAGGAGAAGTGAGTTTGTTTCCAAATAGGTCAGGAGAAAAAGGAGGATTTAAAAAATACAATCCTGAGCCACCCATTGCAGCCTTGACGGCAGGAGCGGGGCCTTGGCAAAGGCTACCTCCACCTCCTTTCAGTCGAGCTCCAAGAGTCTGATTCTGCGGCGCCGTCTCCCCGGAGACAAGAACGCAAAACACTGCATGTCACAGAGGACTGAGAACACCGCCCCTCCGAGCGCTCCAGGGAGTCTTAAAGGGGCCGTTGCCCCTGCAACGATGTGCTTGCAAGGAACGCTCAGGTGCACCGCATTATGGAAGGCGCTTCCGAAAACGCAGGGAAGGAGAACGATGGAGCCAAGGATCCAGGTGCTGCTCGAGCGTCTCTGCCCTGGACCATCGGTGCCGCTGGAAAACACGGGAGTAAAAGCACCGGGGGCGGGGCAGGCAGTGAGATTAGAAAAATGCATGTTGAGTGCCCCAGGAGGGTAGCTGCTGTGAGCCTGGTCTTTAGGGAGGGAAGAAAAAGTGCTCGGAATCAGGTGATATCACGTGGCGCAAAGGAGACATCGGGGCACTGGATGTAGGGCTGCCAGACTCCAGGTGGTGGCTGGAGATCTCCCGCTATTACGACAGAGATCAGTTCACCTTGAGAAAATGGCCATTTTGGAAGGTGAACTCTGTGGCATTATAGCTTATTGAAGACCCTCCGCTCCCCAAACCCCGCCCTCAGGCTCCACCCCCAAATCTTCAGGTATCTCCCAACCGGGAGCTGGCAACCCTACTTGGAGTGTTTAATTCAGCCAACTGAGCTAGGTGCGTCGCGAGAGGCCGGGTTAGCACATTTGGGGCATATGAAGTCTCAATTTGCGATCCGGTCTGTCGCCAAAGAGGCGAGCTGGTTTTTGCAAATGCAACGCAGCGGTACTTCCTGTAAGTTTTTGCCGTGTTTCCAACGACGGCGGCGTCTCTCAGAACTGAGCCCCAACTTCGTGCTGCCCTCTGGTGCCGCCCTGAGACGATGAACGGTTGAGCAGTTCCCCCTTTCCCTTTCCAGTGCGTCATCAGGATCAGATATGGGGGGGGGAGGGCGTTATCTGTTCCGCATGCTAAGACGTCAGATCAGATGCCAGGCTTATTTATGATTTATATTTCCGTCCCGCTGTATGCCCGGGGGGTGGGGCTAAGTGCGGCTTGCAGCAATTTCCTCCAAGTCATTTCAGACAGCGTCTCTGAAAGGCTTGCAATTTAAGTTCCTCCGGCCACATCCACTATTCATACAGGCATAATAGCATCAATGGATCTCTGTGACTGTAAAAGCACAGTGGGTGGAGAGATTGTGCAGGATGGGAGATTCACACATTACAGAGTACACAGGTTGAGGTCCTGGGCTTGTGTAACAGAAGTGAATTGTGGGTTCTCCTCCATTCCCCACCATGACACAAGCCTGATTCTCATTGTCTCTAGTAGCGAGATAGGGAGGGGGAGTGATGTTCCGCATAGCTTTTTTAATACACACAAGCAGCGTTTATTGACATTTTGGTAGATTTGGACAATAGGACATTGCTGGACACACCCTCTTTCCAACAGATATAAAGCGTTCCAATTAAATAATATATACAAACAAGAACATTATGCAAGTTTGCAGAAGACAGATCAAGTATATTGACTTTTCTGCATTTTTTTGTTACTGAAATGCTGCTGCTGCTGCTGTTTTTGGTTCCTTACTATTGAAATGACCAACTAAAATCAGCAATGACTCTCAGGGCAGTCCTAAATCGACTTAAGTCTATTGAAGTCAATGGGTTTAGTTGGGCGTAATTTTATTTAATGTATTCATTTATTTTGATTTGTATCCCGCCCTCCAAAAGTGGATTCAGGGTGGGTCACAAGTCTCATAAGGCATCATGATTAATAGACAATAGATAACATTTGGACAATATATGAAAAATTTAGCCAGTTAAAATTTAAAAATTTTGTACCAAAACCCAGAGTGAAATGTTGCTCCGGTAGCAACACTCAGATGGAGCCTTCTGAGCAGTGTTGTTGGATATCAAGCCACTAACCACAAGGCCAGCAGGGGAGGCCAGGAAGAGACATTTGGATGCCCACTGACTCAACTGAAAGCCCAGTAGAACAGCTCCATTTTACAGGCCCTGCAGAATTGTAACAGTTCCCGCAGGGTCCTGACCTCAGTTGTGAGCTTGACCAATGCAGTGTACAGCAGGACTATGACATCTTGTGATTCTGATGTTATGCCTCTGTTGATACACCCCAAGACTGCATTAGCCTTCTTTGTTGCTGCATCACACTGGCTGCTCGCATTTAACTTTCAGTCCACCCTTACCCCCAAATTTTGTTCACACACACTGCTACTCAGAAGTGTATCCCCCATCCAGTATGCATGTTCCTCATTTTTGTTACCCAGATGGAGAACTCGACTGTGTGACTGAACAACAAAGAATTTGGCACTTATCCTTGTTAAATTGCATCTTGTTCACAACCGCCCACTTTCCCAGCATGCTCAGATCTCGTTGAATTCTATATCTTCTGGTGTGTTTGTTGCTCCTCCCAATTTGGTATCATCTGCAAATTTAATGAGTAGCCCCTCCACACCTCATCCAGGTCATTGATAAAAATATTGAAAAATACCGGGCCCAGAACCGAGCCCTGTGGCACCCCACGGGACACCTCCCTCCATTCAGATGAAATGCCATTGGTAACTACTCTCTGAATACCGTTCTCCAACCAGTTCCCCTTCCACTTAACTATCCTACAGTCCAGTCCACAGTCCTTTAGTTTACTCATCAGAACATCATGGGGAACCCCTTCAAAAGCTTTATTGAAATGATATTGTTGTATACGTGGATACATTTAGTTACTTGTTTCAAGCCACTTTGCCTACAGCTTTTTGTGTTTAATAGAATGTGAAGATTTTGGAAAAGGATCTTCAGCCCCAGCAACTGATATTTCTAGTGGGTAAGTCAATGATAAAGCTCTTCTTATTTTCTTCACTGCTTCAGTAACATAATTTGTCCCATTATTGTAGGAATGCTGCAGGATAACACTTAGGGTTGCCAAGTCAGAAAAACTCACCGGCGGGGGAGCCTCGGCGGGCTCCGGGAGCCGTCCTCGGATGTGTGCGCCGCCAGCGTGTCACCAGAAGTGACGTGCGACGTCGACCACGTTGGGGGCGTGGCCCGGATCGTCGGAGAGAAAACCATAGAGTTTTCCCTCCGATGATCCGGGCCACGCCCCCAACGTGGTCGACATGGTTGCGTCACCTCTGGTGACGCAGCCATGCTGCGCTTTGGGGGGCGGAGTTCCCCCCGGGGCCCGATTCCGCGGCGGCGGAAATCAAGCCTCCAAAGCGGGGGTTTATCCGTCCCCTGCCCCCACTTGGCAGCCCTAGTAACACTGGAGACTGGCTGCTCATTCAAGAACCATCCAGTCACAATCACTGGCAATAGGAGATTCAGGATTAATTAAAGAAAGTACCTCTTTGTATAACTCATTATTAACTTACAGAATTAATTGCCCCTGATAGCATGATGGCCACATGCTCAGAAGGCTTTAAAGATAGAGAGTAGGGCTATGTGTGTAACAACCGAAAATGGAACCTCCATGTTTATTGATAACCAGGGCTATTTTTGGGCAGGAACGCACAGGAACGGAGTTCTGGCTGGCTTCAGAGTTGGCCACACCCACTACAGCCAAAACCTCTGCTTGTGTGGCTACAGAGGGAAGGGGCACCCGCGCAAGCCCTTCCCTCCAAGGGCTGGCTTGTCCGGGGGCCCCACAGCCGCAGGGCGCCCGGGCAAGCCAAGGGAAGGCATGGGGTGTGGCCTAATATGCCAATGAGCTGTGCTGTCAGGGGTGTGGCCTGATATGCTAATGAGTTTCTGCTGTTGGGTGTGGCTTATTATGCTAATAAGTTCCTGCTGGGCTTTTTCTACAAAAAAAGCCCTGGTGATAACAAACTTGTGATCCAAAAACGCTGAGGTTAAACTACAAAAATGGTTGTCGCCCTCATGCCTTCTTAGTAAGTTTCCTGGGTCTGGCTTGCTGGCTGCTTTTGTAGGCAGAATATGGGCTAAATATACTCTTCTGGTTTGATCTAGCACGGCAGAGCTTGTACTGTATTTTATGCAGTTTTGTAAACAATTTTCGGTTCTCTATTTCCAGAGATTGCAGGGTGCTATGTTGGTCTGAAGAAATATCCCAACCAGAAACCTTTTATTAGGACCAATCAAAATAATACAAAATAGTGTGCAAACTATCAAGTTCTCCAGAACTCTTCATTAGGGGGGGAATGTTTGAAAAAGGAGGATAAAAGAAAACAGCAACAAGCCCTGGTCTTATATATGTATATATATACACACACATTCACACACAAAAAGGCTGCCATTTCCCCTTTTTCCTTCTAGAAGATCACTGATACCGTCTCCACTCAACACTACTTTGTCCAAATCTGCCTAGGATTCTACCAGGAGCCTCAAGGCCATGGCCTGAATCATTTTTATTTTATTTTTTTCCCCTGTCTTTCCCCTTTTTTGTTTTTTACATGTATTCTGGTGAAAAGTTCTGAAGAACCCAAAAACTTCTGCATGTGTGTATGAAGTGCCGTCAAGTCGCTTCCAACTTGTGATGGAATGAATGACCTCCAAAATGTCCGATTGTTAACAGCCATTCTCGGGTCATGCAAACTGAAGGCCATGGCGTCCTTGATTGTGTCAATCCCTCTCATGTTGGGTCTTCCTCTTTTCCCGCTGCCTTCAACTTTTCCTTGCATTCTTGTCATTTCCAGTGTCTTTTGTCTTCTCGTAATGTGACCAAAGTACTATAGCCCCAGTTTAGCCATTTTAGTTTCTAGGGAGAGTTCAAGCTTAGTGAAAAAGCTTGCATACTTTGCATTATTTTGGTTGGTCTAAATAAATTATATATTTTACAAGCAGGGAACCCAGAAGGGTTTGCACTGGGCATCTCTTTTGCCCTCCCCCACTATTTTTTATTTCCTTTTACTGAAAGCCCCCCCTCAACTTCACTTTTCTTGCTTTCTTCTCTCTGTCCCCCTGTCTTCAACACCCCCCTCCCCCCAGCAACCTCTACCTAGGAAAACTATGGCACAGTTTTGTGGTGCCAGCCACTGGGCCAAGCCTACTAGCATAACAGGGAACACTCAAGGACTTGGAGGGGAAAACCTCACTTTCCCCTGTATCTTCGTCCCTGCACTAGTTCCTCATTCCCTTCTCCTGGCAACCCCCATATCCTATCCACTTTCCCTGTTTCATTGTGTCCTTCTCAGTCATTCACCAACCTACTTTTACAGCCTCCCATCTTCAGTTATATTTATTATTTATTTAATTCATTGATACCCTTTCTTTCTCCAAAGTGGGGACCTAAGCAGCTTACACCCCCTCCCTTTTTTAATCCTTACAACAATTTTGTGAGGTAGGTTAGGCTGGAAGTATGTGAATGGCACAAGGTCAGCTAGTGAGCTTCTGCAGAAGACTGGTGGCTTAAACCTAGGTTTCCTGAACTCTGCTGTGAAGTTCTAACCACTACACTGCCCTGGCTTTCATAGGGTGGCTGCTGCTGAACAGTAGCAAGCAGCCAGGCCTAGGTAAGTCATGCAACTGAGGTGGTATCAAGTTGTCCGGTGGCCCCAATCAGTCCACCCTTAATGACCAAAGCAGCCTTGGAAAGGGCCTTGTCTCTTTCTGTTGCCCTGAAAACAGGCCTATAATTCTGGCAAAGCTCTTCTGGTTGCCTGGCAATGGCCACTGAGGGCATCAGTTTCTTAAAGCTACAGGTACTCCTTTTATCATTTTGCGACCCCCCCCCCCGCCGTGTGTGTTCTGTTAGTTTTTAGATTTCAAATTCTTCTGCAAACCTGGGGATTTTTCAGGTTTATTGAAAGATTTGTCTAGTATAGTGGACTAATGTATAATGTCCCAAATTTATATTTTATTATCACAACTGTGTTTTATTGTGTGATATAGAAATTACTATTAATATCTGTCTGTAACATTTATAATATGTCCATTGCCCCAGTCAGAGCTGAGTAGAGTTTCACATGTAAAGCACAGTATAATTAAATATAATTAAATAATCGTAAATGCAAGTATTGGCCATAAACAGGAAAGGAAGTTTACATAGGGTGGAATTATCATACAATTTACTACTGTACAAATTTGCTTGTTTTTGGAATTCACCCTTGCACTCACCGTAATGATACTCTAGGTTTTCTTGTCCTCCCAGAAATTGTTGAAGTTTGAGTATATGGTGTTTGGATTAAATGAAGAATAATAATACGTTGCTCATTTTATTAATGTCTTTACCTTGCCATGCCCAATTTTAAAAGCAACATTGACTAGCTCACAAAAATGGTTAGTCTTGATTTAGATCTAAGATTTACTAAAAATGAATTTTAAACTCATTGCTGCTCTGTCCTCCATGAATTATAAAAAGGATATATTCATAATGCTTTCAACAGTTAGGTTTTTCCTGTAATATCTCTTCCATTCCCCAGAATGCAAACCATAATCTCTCCACCCCCAATACTTCTGTCTGACTGTATTTTAAACTTTGAGTCCACTGAGTACATAGACCATTGATGGTGAGCAGAGAGTTTGATATAGTATCCTCTGGGGCATGGCAGGGGTGAGCTCCTATTCAATTTGTACGTAGTTTTGTTCTGTCTTAGGGAAGATGCATGTGCTATTAGTCTCCCTTTCTGGAACAGACATGCTCCTAGACCATCCTTAGCTGTATCAGCCTGGGCTTCTATTTGTTCTGCAGGACTGAAGTACTGTTGGACTGGTGCTGTTGTGATGGCCCGCTTCAGTTCATCAAGAGCAGTTTGGTATTTGGACCCCCATTGTTAAGCAATGTCATTGCTGAAAAGAGCCTTGAGAAGTGCTGGATTTGTTGGGTTTATATTGAACCAGAAATGGAATACTATCTAGAATCCTTTGGAGAAAGGCCTTTTCAGCTGGAAGGAATGTGGCAATGACTCTTTGGTGTCATGTGGTTGCATGCCATCCTTCAAGATGAGATGGTCCATGTACTTAATGGCGACCACCAGAAATTGAATTTTGCCTTTATCAAAACTGATTCTGCTTCTCGTTTTCTCAAAGACTTGCCAGAGCACTTCATCATGTTCCTCTTTGGTGAATGCTGCAATAATCATGTCAACTGCAGTGTTGTGGACACCTGGAATATCCACCAGCCCCTCATGTTTCTGTTGAAAGACCTCACAGTTGTCTTGATGCCAAAGGGCAGCCACTGACAGGGATGTCTCCTGCATGGGGTGAAGGTACACAGTTCTGTAGACTCTTTATCTAGGACCGCTTGCTGGTAGCCATCTTTCTCATCTAAGATGGTAAATAGCTTTTTGCCAGCAAGGTTACTCTGTACATCTTCTAACACAGGGACAGAGAAGTGCTGTTATACTTGACTGCCTTGAGAGATCCCCAGAGTTCAGGCACAACCTGAGTGATCTTTTCTTTTCAGTTTTGAGTTGAAACCAGGGTGTTGATCCATGCTGTTGATCTGGTCGCCCTTATGGCCTCTTCTGCTTCAAGGTATTCTAAGACTGATTTGAAAGGCACACAGATGGCACTGTGGGGTCCTCGTAGAAATGCTGCACTCTTGGAAAGTGCCCAAGGCCTTCAAAATCATCAGAGTAATACTTGGAAAAGTCCTTTACTATGGTTGGGGAAGCAAGGCTATGTCATGGCAAACCAGTGCCAGGTGACCTGCCCATTAATGGTGGGTCCTCCTTCTGTGTGATGCAGAAGGTTAGGCTGGATATGGTAGAGCCACACTTGCAACAAACCACAGTGGTATACCTTGGTTCGATCTCTCCCCCGCCCCCCCGCAGGTAACTAGCATCATGTTTGTCCTACATATGTTGCCCTGCAGGCATTCTGCGGTATCCTGGGGCACGTATGTTGACCTCAGCTCTAGTATTTAAC